CATGGGGAAAACCACGAAAACACTCATGCATCCAGCCCGTTCGCGGGATTCGAACCTCGGACCGAACTACCTGTGTTCAGCGACGTTACCGCTTGGCCGCTGGTGGGCGTTTCGTTACATGGAAAACGCAAGTTAAAATTTCGACAATCCCCTTTTTGTGTGCCCTGTCCCAACCCTTTTTTGTGTGCAAGGTGTATATTTTTAATAATTTCTTCATAAAGCCTGTGCACATTGAAAACATCACGAAGTATTAACTTAGCCTTTTACGTGTACTATCTTTGGTTGTTTGGTAAATTTTTGAGTTTCTCCGTAAATTTCGCACCAAATTTTACAAAATTTAATATCTAGGCATAATTTGAGTCGTATAATCTAAATATGGAAAAAACGTTGGTATGTTATTTCAGAAAAAGTCTGATTTTATGCAAAATACCTATATTAGAACAATGCTACATATAAATATAATACATATCCTTAGTCGCGCTTTCGCGACATGAAAAACGTAAGTTGAATTTCGTCAATCGGCCCAGTAAAGCGGGAGATAAAGAACTGCCCCATTCCCCCTCCCCCCCGCAGTGTACCTTGAGTGCTTCCGAATAGACACTGACCAAGTCGTGCTTTGTTTGGACAACTGAATCGTAGATTGTGTGAGCAGAAGCTTTCCAAGCAAATAGCCACATCGGTTTGAGACACGCACATTTGTCGTAGAGGAAGCTGTGCTACTGGAATTTGAGACGAACCCGCAAACAAGTCTCCGAACAACCGAACGTGTTTTGCGTGTACATTTTGACGATTATCCACAACACGTTGCATTCCCACGCTGGTACATGCACAAACGGGTCGGACAACCGGACTTTCCTTCGTGGATTTTGTTTTCCAATGAAGCCTCTTCGGAAAACGGTGTCCTGAACCTGCACAGCATGCACATAAAAGCCCAGGGTCTACACGTGCCCAAGTCAACAACGTTGCAACATAGGACTTTGGACTGGTATTATTAGTGACATGTTAATTGGTCCTTTCCTCAAAGCCTCGATTGAAAAACCTATCTCTTCTTTACAAAAAGAGTGTTGCCGGATCTGATAGTTGACGTTTCAGTAGCTACGCGCCGAAACATCTGGTTTCGATATGATGTAGCGCCTACACATTATGACGCACTCTGTGACAATACCTTGATAGGACAAATCCCGATCTCTGGACTGACAGAGGAGGACCAGTCGCATGGACACCGCGATCCCCCCCGACCTAACTTCCCTGAATTTCTACATGTGGGCATACATGAAGTTCGTGGTGTACGAGACGACTGTAACATCCGACATGGATCTCGTCGCCAGGACTATGGAAGCGGCGACACGTGTCCGTGGCACACCTGCAATTTTGAACGGGTCCGTGAATGCATGCGTCGACGTCGTAAAGCATACATTGTGGCAAATGAAAGGAATTTTGAACATCTTCTGTAATTTAACCATGCTCCTTAAATAAAAGACATATTCATCTCTTTCGACATTCTTTCTCCACCTTTACGCCTGCGAACATCGCCCCCTAGCGGTCCCCGTTCGCATTTTCGAACACAAGTCCGTATGAAAATTTTGTTTGCCACGGTATGACAGACCAGCATGTAATGTTAAGTTTGGCAAACTGAATGATTTCAAAGCGAGCAATGGCAACACTGTACGAAAAAGAAAACATTTTTATCTCCAGCGCGAGAGACTCTGCATCGGAAATTTTAAAGATATGCTCATTTTAAAATTAATTTGCCATATGGCTGTTGAACTGAATTTTCTAGTTTGATACTGTAAAACATGATATTTAATAAATAAAGGTAACACACAAAACATTAAAAAAACGCCCCTTTGGACGTAATTTAAAATCTGAAACCTTTCAGGTTTCTTTTAATTTAATTTTATTTTATTTATATTATTATCAGCCAAAGCCCAGAAAGTGAAAAACGGCATTTTGCGCTGATTCACTTTTCAAATTGTTGCCACCAAATATTATTGCCATGTATTATATTTAAAGAAATTAAATAATGAAGAATCTGCATGAATGTTTCTGGCATAGTGAAGAAACAACGGTACCTAGAGCCATCCAATTTTGAACGTAGTCTTTCAGCAGAACATGGGCACTTGGAAGCCAGAATTTGGAAGTTGTTTTATTATCTATTTCAAATTTTTTAAAACATTAACGAATTTTTGATTAAGAAACTCAACGATTTCAAAGCGAGCCATGGCAACACTGTATGGGAAAAAAAAAAAAAAAAAAAAAAAAATTATCTCCAGCGTTTCGAAATTGTGTATCGGAAATTCTAACTCTTTCAAAACTATTTTTGCGATATTGCTGTTGAATTGAGTTTTATGGTTTAAGGGCGAAGAACATGATATTTATTAAATAAAGGTAACACACAGAACGTAAAAAAAGCCCCTTTGGGCGTAATATAAAATTCTGAAAACTTTCAGATTTTTTTTTTTATTATTTATATTATTATTATTATTTATTTTATTCTAGTACGTAATTCCAAAATAATTTCTAAAAACCTCTAAATTTTGAGATATAAAAATTTAACCTTTACTTGCAAAATGAATAAATGAAAAAAAAAAAAAAAAGTTTTTTGAATCTGTGATATAAGCTCGATATACCAGAACTATATGATTATCTTTCTTGTAAATCTTCGCAAGCGAAGTCTGTCATACGATTATTTAAAACGCAAATATTGTAGATCTGCGACTTCCATTTTTGGACATAAAAAAAAAAACGCGTGACGCGCTCGATTATTACGCGTAATTTTACACAACGCTTCATAAATTCTGTGCAACTGAACTCTGATCCACGACGCATCTAGCATTCCACATTCCGTGCTTTTGTTAACCCTTGAACTTTTGACGGCACATATGAAAGCGATAAGAAGAAGAGGTTTGATTTCAGCTGTATATTCAATTCTGACAGGATGCTCCCTTTAGTTCCCAGTCATACTGTTGCAAGGGGTAATACAGCTATTATTTCTGACATATTTTTAAACAATACTGTTTCCAATTAAGGAAAATAGTTTTATTCATTATTTGCAGTAATTTAAAAGAAAGATAATCATGCTCTGCCAATCGATACCAGTTTTAGACTCTAGATTTTCAAACGCTTTTTAGCCCAAAGGGCGTTAGCCCAGAAGGGTTACCAATTTCGTTTTGCGACGTTTCACTTTTCAAATTGTTGCCACCAAATATTATCGCTCCGTATTATATTTAAAAAAAATTAAATATTGAAGAATCTGCATGTATGTTTCTCGCATTGTGAAAAAAGAACGGTACCTAGAGCCATCCAATTTTGAATAACGTAATCCTCCACCCGAATATGGGCACCTGCAAGCCCAAATTTGGAATTAGGTTAGTTTCCGGACATAAAACATGATAAATGTGCAATGCCTTTTCCGGGACTCACAATCCGGATCTTCCGATTGCCAGCCGGACGTGCTTTCCACTCACACTACGAAGGCATGTGATATATAAAGAGAAATGCCGTAGAAGCAAACAACATTAAATTCAAGATAACCGCGAAATGTTTTGTGTTGAGTAAGTTAAACTTTTTAGACGGTAGTCTACTGATTTATTTAATCATTAGAGTAACAAAAAAAAATATTAAAAAAATCTGAAATGTTTCAGATTTTAAATTACGTCCAAAGGGGCGTCTTTTTAACATTTTGTGTGTCACATTTATTTATTAAATATCACGTTCTTCGGACTTAAACCATAAAACTCAGTTCCACAGCAATATTCCAAAATAGTTTTAAAATGAGAATATCTTTAAAATTTTCGATACAGAAACTCGCGCGGTGGAGATAAAAATGTTTTTTCTGTACAACATTACCATTGTTCGCTTTGAAATCCTTGAGTTTTTTAATAAAAAATTCGTTAAATTTTTACACAAAATAGGAAATCTATAATAAAACAAATTCCAAATTTGGTCTTCCACATGCCCATATTCGTAGGATTACATCATTCAAAATTTGATGGCTCTAGGTACCGTTGTTTTATCACAATGCGAGAAATATACATACTTTTATGCAGATTTTTCATTATTTAATTTCTTTAAATATAACACAGGGCGATAATACTTTGTGGCAACAGTTTGAAAAGTGATTCGCCGTTTCTGGTTAATCGACGCAAAATCGCAAAACGAAAACAATAGTCCTTCAGGGACAAAGCCCCTTTGGACTAATAAAATAATCTTATATTTAGATACATTTTTAAGAATATAAGTGCTTATTTCTTACTTAGTATATTCAGGGAAAAACTGTAATGCAAACAAAAAAAATAAGTTTTAATATGGTATGTGACTTTGCAGAGAGTGTCACAAGCTTTGCATTGACGTTCGTTTCTTTAGTCAGGTTATCCGGCGCAGCAGAGGCTAGTAACTACCAACCTTGTAAAAAGGAAGTTTAGAGATTGGTTGAAGAAGACTGATAAGCAGAGACGGCTGTTCTGAAACCATTCCAAAGATTTTAGAACAAGGTGAGGATATGTTTTATACAGAGTACGAGCAGTACCCTCATTGTTAAAGTACTCGTCCACAAGCTTACTCTATGTGGACAAGTGAATTACATTGTGTGTGGACCATTAATTGTAAATCTGCATTTACTGCTGCAGATTGTCATACTATCACTTGAAGGATGCCAAAGGCACATGCGTTCAAACGACAGATGTAATCCATTACTCCTAGCCATGATAAAACTCGCTGACTTGTTCTGATGTTATTCCCAAACGAGTGAGGTAAGTCACACCACAACCGCTAATCACGAGAGCCCGTACTTAGCTTTAAGGGCGTAATGTAGAAAATCATTGTAATTTTCAATCGTTGCTGAAAATGTACATGCCAAATGTAAATTTAAAATATAACTGTATGGCACAGAATCAAATTATGTTTGCTGTATAAAGACGGGGCACCAATAAAGGCGCCGGATTTAATATGTTCAACAAAATACTTTCAGAAAATGGGCGAAAAAAAATTAACATACTTACCATACAGGTGAATGATCCGATTCAAGAATGCAAAATAATGTATGGCAAATACACTCTACGACTTAATCTGCAGCACCAACATTATCTTGATGAAATTCGGAATCGCTCTTTCACAAATCTGCCTATCGAGCTAGCTAATGGCAGTTTTTTGTTGTTTTTCTTTAAATTTAGAATTTTTTATATCACTGTAATGCAAAATAACGATGCTTCCAGCTGATGAGAACACTGTGTTTTAATATCCACTGTCAAGCTGGTGTCCTCAAATTTCTTTATTAATCTACAAACTGTTCTTTATTTTAGTGCACGTTAACGAGCAAAGATCGCACGAGTTTTTCTAACAATCTATACCTAACACTCGCCATTCTTGCAAAGAATTTTCGCAGTCAAAACTGGGAGCGACTAAATTTCAACTCGGCAGGAAAATTTGATTGGTCAACGGTACACGTCACATGTGACGTCAAAAGCGGGGTGTTTTAGATTTACCCCACAGGATTACCTGCCATTTTCGGTTGCTTGTTTTCTGAGCTCTGCAGTGATATTTTTTGGCGAGCTAAAAGAATTTTTTGATAAAATATTTTAATTGGTAATTTAGATATTGTTTGCTTGTAATTAAACACGTGATTACAAATTATTGTAAAGTATTTATTTTTGAGACAAACTTTTTGTAATCTATTTATTTTTCATATATTGCCTTTTGAGAACAGATAAATTTAGCTGAAATTTCCTTTGTTGAACAAAGGAAAATGAAAAATGTTTCAGAATAGCAAACCGTGTTAGTTTCAGTCAAACATTAAATATTTTATACCATTTTTTGTGTCAAACATTAAAATTTTTAATATCATATGCTACCATTTTTTTGTGTCAAACATTAAATATTTTAATATCATATGCTACCATTTTTTTTGTGTCAAACATTAAATATTTTAATATATGCTACAGTTTTTATTCATTTTTTTAATATTTCTGATGACAAAATAAGTTTTTTATTTTCTATTGTAGTACATAACTTTTTGTTATAACAATGGAATATGAAAAGATAGCAGTATTTGAATGTATGTACTGCTGCAAAAAGTACAAAAAGAAAAAGGTTTTATATGAACACATTCGGGAAGTACATAAAGTACCTGTTGTGGCTGAAGGAAATTTGAAATGTCCTATTAATGCCTGCAATTTTTCATGTAGAACGTTTGAAGAGTTAAGAAATCACGCAAGAGATCAACATGGATACACTCTTAACTCCGTTGAAATGACATTTAATACATATGAAGGTAAGATATTAGAAATTTGCATTTTCTGCGATAAACGTTTTTAATTTGAATTACCCCAAACTGAGTACAAATTACTATTTTTGCAAATTCATTCATCAAGTTGGGGAATAAAATACATCTATTTTTGTGAGTATAATTGATAACAGAATAATTTCCTTAGCATCTTGCTTTTTTCTGTTAGCCTGATAAACCCCCATTATTCTTCAGTAAAAATATTTCAAATAATAATTATTATTAATAATATTAAGATTAAGTAATATTTCTCTTCCTCAACTATTTGAAATATGAAGTAAACATTTTCTAAATAATAAAAACATATATAGAGATGTACTGCTACATAATTATTTATACATGTAATTCAGTGCTTCATTAAAAAAAAAAGACTATCCTGTTATTACACAAACGGATCTCTTAATGCATATGTATGATGACGATATCAAAAATAATGTGGACCTAATAAAAAAAATTGTTAAAATCTTTATTAAAGTGGCAACCTTCAATCGTAAGTTTAGTATCATAATGATAGACACTTATTATATGTAAATGAGGCTTAAAATTTATTATATGTTATTTTAAAACTACTTAAAGAAATTTATTCAATGTCTTAAAATTTTAATAACCTATACACATTGTATCAGTTATCAAGAAACAGGCTACAATGTTTTTTTACTTTAGACATAGGCCAGATGACACTCATGCTATGGAAAATGTCTGATGACAATTTGTCTCTTAAGAATAAATTTCTTGCATTATTATACAACTTTGGGGAATATGTTTTAAGTCTAGTTTAGCTGGAACATGAGTACTAGTAACTGTCAAATAGGAAGAAAAATATGCCAATGTACAACTTAAAATAGAGTCGTAGCTAGGGTTTTCAGCGCCCAGGGACAACTGAAGGTTTCGCACCCTCTACTGCTTGCCATGGATGGAAAACATTTAATTCTAAAATGTCGTAACATCAGTTTGGTGCCCCTTCGAATCTGCGCCCGGGGACAGATGCCCTCCTCTAGCTACGCCCCTGACTTAAAATTAGGCAACTTTATTTCAGTGTAGATTTTAAATAAAACTATCAGTTTTGAGAGCAATTAGACACAGGTCCCTCTTCTTGAAGAGAAAAAAAATTCTGCTAAAGTGACCAGTATCTATTTACAATCAGTGCCAAAATAAGATTTTGGTTAGTTTTAAATTAGTAATTTTGTTTTAAAGATTAACTAGTTCACAATTATAATGGGCTTTTATATTGTATGTAGGCTAATGTTTACCCTTCAAATTTAGATTTCTTACAATGGAAAATTGAGGAAGAACGAAGGGAAAAAATTTCTTACTTTTTGAGAAGTACAATAACTCTTAAAGAAGGTGGGAAAAAGAGTTACTTCCTTTGTAATTGATCTGGATTTTATAATTCTAAAAGTAAAGGTGTAAGAGCTATAAAATCACAAGGTACCTGCAAAATAGAGGGGCACTGTCCATCTACTATTGAAGTTACCAGTAATGGCATTATTAAGATTTTATATTTCCAAACACACGTGGGACACACAGTAGATCTAGAACATTTGCCGTTAACAAAAGATTTGCGAGAAGTGATTGCAGGTAAGTTTCTTTATGAACTTGATTGTGAAATTCAATATAAAACAGACATTATTATACAACATTATCATATAAATGCAATATTTTCAGGTAAGTTAAAAGAAGGCATTCCACCACAGAAAATATTAGATTCCACAAGGAATAGTATTAAAGAAGACATTTACAGGGAGCATTTATTGACAAAAAAAGACATACATAACATTTCTAATTCTTACTGTATTGGTAATGATGAACAATATCATCCAACTGATGCTGTCAGTTTAAGGATCTGGATAGAAAAAAATGAAATGTTTAGATGATAATTCAGTTCTTTTTGTAAAATTCCAAGGAGAAGCAGCAGATCAGCACTTGGAAATTAGTGACTTCTGCATCATCATAATGACAAATGTTCAAAAGCATATGCTTTTAAAGTTTGGATCCGATAGCATATGCATCGATAGCACACATGGGACTAATGCTTACGATTTTCAATTATCGACAGTTTTAGTCATAGACGAGTTTAATTCAGGATTTCCTGCTGCTTTTTGCCTAAGCAATAGAGTAAATTTAGGTTCAATGCAAAAATTTTTTCAGTGTATTAGGGACAAAGTTGGACTGCTGTCTGTAAACTGCTTTATGAGTGATGATGCACCAGTATATTATACTGCATGGACATCAGTAATGTGTGATGCCAAATTTAGGATTCTATGCACCTGGCACGTTAAAAAGGCATGGCTGCAAGCAGCAAATTCAATTATCCCCTCAAAGCGAAAGGAAGTTTTGAAATTTTTAAATGTAGTATCTGAATGTCATGATATAAAAGAATTTGAAGCACTGATATCTGATTTCCTCAGCAAACTCTTTGCTGATAGAGATACAGACAAGTTTGCTAATATTTTTGCTTCAAATTATGCAAACAGATGCGAGTTGTGGGCTAAATGTTATAGAAAAAGATGTAACATCACAACTAACAATCATCTTGAAGCACTGCATCGAGTTTTAAAATTATTCTTATCTTGATGGATTGAAAAACAAGAGGGTTGATAGGTGCATTGCGAAGCTTATTAATATGGTGCAAGATAAATGGTTCCAGAGATTTATCAAAACAACAAAAGGGCCAAACACATCAAAGATCAACCAAACAAATTTACGACACAACAGAGCAATAAATTTTCCAGCTAATAATATCACAGAAATCAATGAGTTTTCTTGGCATGTGATTTCAGAAAGTGACCCTACTCTTGAATATACTGTTACTCAAATACATACACAATGCATTAATTGTAACATTGTTTGTAAATGGTGCAAAATTTGTAACGATGCATTTGTATGCACATGCACAGATGCCACGATTAAAGGAAGTGTCTGTAAACATATACATGCAATAATTTTAAAGACAAGATTACTTAATAGAGAACAGTCAGCTAAAACTAAAGAATCAAATGATGTAAAACTCTTTCTTGATCTATCAGCACAAAAATTAAAAAAATCAGGAACCAAGCACCATATTATAAATCAACTGAGTATCATATCAAAACTTGTAACATCAACAACAGTAAATAATATAACTTTGGGAGATATTGAAAACACACTGAATAAAGTGATTACAAAATTAAAGAACGAAAAGCCGAAATTGAAAATGGTGAACTATGAACCTACAAATAAAAAAGCAGGGAAACAAAAGAATTTCTTTTTTACGAGAAAAAAGAAAGAAAAAGTCCATGCAGTACTGAAAATATTGCAACAACTTCATACAAGAAAGCTGCTATAGATGCCATTGGAAATAATGAAACTCTTATAATTCATGATTCTTTTGATCATATATATTGATATCTCATCATGTAAATATATTGTATATAAAATAATCTCTAAATAGTTTATAAATTAAAATATGATGAATTAAAAACAGTATATAAATTTAAAATGCTCTTAATCTTGTCACTACTTCATCCTTGCTAGTTACACAAGTAATTTATTAATCAGTTTTTGATCTCATATTCTGTCGCAGTATTTCACTACTAAATTATTAGTGTAAAGTTCTCCAGTTGATGGTACACATACAGTACAGTTAGCAACATCATTTTACAAAACATCGACATATAATGTGTTTATTAGGACGTATCACAACAATATGTGCAAAAGAACTAAAAGTTTCAGCATGAAATATGCAGTTACAGATTCAGTCAAATATAGATAGTAACATCATATACAGATAGAGAACATAATAGGAATAACAATCGCACTTGATTATTACAAAGGAAAATCATAATTCAGTATCTGCTGACAAATCAGAGCATGCTGGTATTTCTTTAAATAAATGATTAAAAATGCCACAAAAATATAATAAGTGCTTTAAAATTCTTAAATTCATATAAGTGTAAATCTTAGTGTTTTTGAAAATGCTACTGTATTTTGTTATCGAGCATTTTTGAATCGCTAGTGATTACAATAACAATTTATGAATAGTGAAAACTTAAATTATTCCAAGAGAATTGATTAA